CATCAAATATGACTCGCTGAGGCGCGCCAAAAGGTGCGATCCAAATCTGCAACAGTCGAGCGAAAACAACCGATGGGCGCCTTGATGCGACAGCGCCGCACATCGAAACACCCGAGGCCAGGTCGACCACGTTGAGGTAGACCAACTGGTTGCCAGCGTAGTCGGCCAGGGTGAACAGGTCCACTCCGATGGAGTCGTTGAAGTCCCTGTCCAGTCTGATCCGCCCCGGTAGGTGCGGTAGTGGTCGCTGATGTGCTGCACAAGCCTCGCAGTACATGTTTCGAGTCATATCGATGACCTTTGCGACCCACCAGTCGCGCGAATGGCTCGGGCAAGTGAATCGTTGGACGGGTGCCCCGTGTTCACGTGGAGCTGCATGATGGCGGACCGTAGTGTCCGCTCCTCCGCAGCCGTGAGCGGCGGCTCCTGAGCGGCTGCGGCGGCTGGAACCGTCCTTCTTCTTGCCCCTGTCGTCGTCGATGTAGGGTGCGTTTCTCGCACAGGTCGGCGGTTCGGACGTCGCAGCTGCTCGGCTAGCACCGTCGCGAGCTTGGTCGTGTAGCTCTCGCTGCGCTTCGCGTCCTTCCCGCGGGCCTCTGCGCGTGGGTGCCCCCCGCTGTGGGAGCGCCTGAGCGAGTCGCCGAACCCAAAAATGGTCGGCGATTATCCGCCACAGCTTCTTGAAGTGGATCCCACTCTTTGTCTTGAGGTTGAACGCGCAGCCAACGAAGTCCACGACGCGCGGGAGCTGCTCTTTCAGCTGCTTGGCAATGGCGTTCTTGTTGGAGCCCCATCCGTCGCAGCGCCTCGGCCACTCGAACAAGACGGCGAGCTGGGCGCCAAACTCCTTGCGCAGCCGTGACATTGACTGCAGGAACAGGCCGATCATCTGCCTGGACTTGGCCCGACCCCTTTTGAACATGAGGATCTTGCTCGGGTCAATCTCGACGACGAGTCGCTGTAGCGATGTCCACGGCTGGCAAGAGAAATACGAATATATATATATATATATATTATATATATATATATATATATATATATATATATATATTGGTAGAAAAAAAAAAAAAAAAAAAAAAAAAAAAAAAAAAAAAAAAAAAAAAAAAAAAAAAAAGCGTGAACTCGCACACCCTGGCATGCGGCAAGGTGCCTCCGGATCCCGCCCGCCAGCTTCTGGACCGCGAACTGCTTGGAGAGGCCGAAACCTGGAAAACCACACCTGACAGCAGCTCCTCCTTTCTTCTTCCAGACGGCGCTGAGCTTGCTGTCCGGGTAGCAGCACCACTCGTAGAGCACGGTGCTGTTCGCTATGGAGGTCGGGCTGGATCTGGTTCTAGACTTGGCCGCGTTAGTAATCAAGGCCTGGCCGATCTCGCGCGGCTGGATGCCGCTCTTGCTGGTGACGAAGACTGAGCGCTTGCAAGCGATCAGCTGCGGCTTCGCCCCCTTCTTGAGCGTCCTCACGCGTTGCTGATCCTCCTCCGACGTTGGCCTCGGGTCCGAGGCAGCCGTTGGCGATGGCGCCCTGGCCGTGGCTCAGGTTTACGGGCGTGCCGAAAACGCAGTCCGAGCAGAAACCTGTGGCTGCAGGCCTCGAAGGTCGTCTCGCCACAGGCGATGCAGTCCTGCAGGGGCTCGGCCACGCACGTCGCGGGGTAGGTCGTCTGCGGCAGCGTCGCTAGCACGAGGTTCGGAGCTGGAGCTGCGGTGGAGCAGCAGACCAGGGCTGAGGCTACGGCCGAAAGCAGCCGCGACCCCTTTGGTCGACGAGTCTGGAGACGTCTTGGAACGTTCAGCTCCTTCTTCGTGACGAGGTTGTTGATGGTGTCGATCAGCGCGCTGGTCCTGGTAGTGTTGTTGACCGTGGGCTGGTCGCCCGTCCTCGTCCGATCCCGTCGGCCGAGCGTCTTCTCGACCTCTACGTATAGGTTATTGTCCAGCTGTCGCTTCCTACCGGACGAGCTGGCCGCGCTGGGCGGTTGCTCCATGCCGGCGTCCTTGATGGCCTGCCAGTCCTCTGGCTGCAACTTGATTGCGGGGTGGCCCGCGGCGCTCGCGGTGAGCTTCTGGGTGGCGTCCCCGATGCGGACCTAGCCCTTCCAGAGAGAAATGTCGATCTTGGAAGGCAGGATGAAGTCGCGGCCGACAAACAGGCCCAGCGCGGGGCCGTCCACGACGCTGAACACGACGCGGCCAGCCTGGCCGCACAGCACAGGCGGCGCGGTGACGCGCAGCTTGCTTGGGAGAGCACCTCCGCTGCTGAACCAGTAGACCTCGTCCTCCGGCTCCTCGAGGATCCGGCTGGCAAGCCACATCCTCGCGAGGATGTCCTTGTCGCACCACTTCCTGCCCGAGACGCAGAAAAGGCAGGCGGCGTCGACCTGCCGATCGCGACGTTCACGTTCGGCAGGTGGTGGATGAGCCGCTCCGAGACGCAAGTCTCCGGGGGCGGCGTGACTGGCCCCTGCGGGTGCAGGGCGATCTCCTCGTCCGCGAACTGGACCTGCTCGGCGATGCGCGCCCGGCGCTGAGAACGGCCTCCGCGACCTCCTCGCCCACCGCCCTTTGACTTGCCGTCCTCGGGCGCGAACTTGCGAGCACCTGGCGCGGGTCACTCCTTGCCCCCTGTCTAGTGTCCGGTCTCGCCGCAGGCCCAGCAAGAAGCGCTCCTCTTGCGCTGATCGACCCGGCCCTGTAGCGCGGTCGGGCGGCGGGGCGGCGCGGGCCCCACCTTGCCGCGGCCCTTGAGGGCCTCCCGGGCCGATCTGATGGTGGCCACGGCCTCGGGCACAGCGGCAAGTTCCGCTGCGGCAGTTTCGACCTCGGCAGAGTCGTCGCCGTCGAACAGCTCGGAGATGTCCACGCTGGAGGACCCGAGCTCGGCGCCGAGAGCCTCGAGCTCCTGGCGAACGATGTCCTGGACGTCGGCCTCGTCCTCGTCGCCCTCCTCTTGCTCTTCGTCGTTCTCGTCGCCCAGCTCGTCGACGGCGCTGGTAGAGCGCCCCCCGCGGCTGGAGGAAACGCTCCTGCGCCAGCCGCCTTGCGAGCGCGACTGCTTAGTCCATGACCTCGGCGGGGGGGCGCGGCGCTCCGACGCATGTATATCCGGGAACATCCTGACCAGCAGCCCGCGGACGCGCTGGTAGCCGCAGCGCTCGTCGGGCAGGTTGCCCACGACACGCTCGCGGCGCTCTGCCGTGAGCCCAGCCTTGCGCAGCAGGAACCATCCCGCCAGGTCGTCCAGCGCGTTGATGTTCACCTCGTTCTCGCGTAGCTGCTGCAGTCCAGTCTCGAGACGGATGAGCCAGTCCGTCATGCGTTCACCTCGTCGCCGGTGATGTGGAGTCGACTCGGCAAACTTATCGAGGGTCTCGCCCTTCTGCCCGGGCTTCTGCTGACCCAAACTAGCCTTCAGGTGCTGTAGCATATTCTCGATGCCGACCTGGTTCCTACCACGCTTCCTGTCATCGGGGTGTTCGATGTCCGCCGCGGCTGCTGGATGCAGCTGCGCCTCCGTCATGCGCAGTGCTGCACCTCGGGCTGTCCCACTTATCTTCAGCACGAGTTTCGATGCGAGGCTGTGCGCCACGGCGAGGTTCTCACTGAGCTTCCAGAGCTCGGCCTCCTGCTTGTAATCTATCCACTTTGACGGATCACCATTCCAGGTAGGAGGACGCTGTACGCATAGTTGTCTGTCATTTCGTCGAAAATGAAATAGTGAACCGCGTCGCTGACACTGGCGTCGAAGGAGAAGTAGCTGGCGTAATCGCTAGCGTCGCTGACGCTGGCGTCCAAAGAGAAATAGGCGTTGGCGCTGGCGTCGCTGACGCTGGCGTTGGAGAATTAAGCGTTGATGCTGGTGTCGCTGGCGCTGGCGTTGAAGTAGGCGTTGGAGCTTGCGTCGCTGACGCTGGCGTAGGAGAAGTAAACGAAGTCGATGACGGCGTCGCTGACGCTGTCGTAAGAGAAGTAGGCGTTGATGTCGGCGTCGCTGACGCTGACGTAGGGGAAGTTGGCGTTGGAGGCGTAGGTGCTGGCGTCGCTGACGCTGGCGCAGGAGTTGTCAGGGTATGCGTTGGTGCTAGCGTCGCTGACGCTGGCGTGGAAGAAGTAGGCGTTGGTGCTAGCGATGCTGACGCTGGCGTAGGCGCTGAGCAACAGCGCGAGGAAGCCGCTGGGTTTCGATTCGGGTAGACGTGTCGCAGACGCCGTCGTTGCAATATGTATGGCCCCGCGGGCCGGGATAGCGAGCCTCGCTCCAAGTTACCACTGTGATATGGAAGATAGTCGCTGGATCTTTTTACTCGCGCGGCGAGGGGCGTAGCTCCAAGGCCAAGGGCCCTAGTTTGGATAAAAACGGTTGCGGTAGAGCGGGCGTGAGAGACAGAGCGGGAGAGCGGGAAATGGGTGAGAAGGCCTGCGAGCCTTCTGGAATCACACCCTGGAGTATCTGGAGGATTTTAGCGTCATCGACTTTCCGGGCTCACGACGCTCCAAGACGGTCCAAGAGGGCACCAAGATCGGCCCAAGACGGCGCCAAAGATCGCATCCGCCCCCCTGGCCGAGGCCGGGGGCGCTCATGCACCGTCCCGGTCCCAGAATGGCCCCGGCCAGGCATGCTGGCGGTGTACATGGTGAAGGGGCACCGATATCACTGCGTACTCCTCGGACCTCTCCCAGAGTGCCATTCTGACCAGGATTTCGATACGAATCCAGCCGTGACGACAAGGGCCTCCAGGGAGGCCCAAAAAGGCGAAAACGAGGAAGGGCAACGGTTTCGGTACCATCCCAGACATGCGAGATCCAGATGTTTTCAATACGCTAGAATCCCAACTCCTTCCCTAAGACCGTTTTTCATGCTGAGTCGTGTTTTGACGATCCTGGGCCCCGGTCAGGGACCCAAGACGCCGAAACTGGCCACAAGCATCCATTCGTTATGATTTCTGGGCGCCAGCACGTCTGGGTCTTCCTCCTCTGAGTATAGATGCCTACTGCGGGGCCTGAGCCGCGGCGGCACTCGCCAGCGCCTGGCGCCCCTCTGCGCAGCTGCCGCTCCCCGAGCTGCTCGACGACGAGCTGCTGGACGACGAGCTGTCAGAGCCTCGGGGCATGAACAGCGAGGGGAGAGTAGGCAGCCAAACATGAGCCCTGCCCCTGCAGGTCAGATTTCCGAGGTGCTGGCGGGGGGCAGAACTTGAAGGATGTTTTCTTCTGGGTGAAGCCCTGCCAGGGATGTCCGATACCCCAACGTGGATTGGACCCGCAGGGGTGCATAGATCTACGTCTACTCATATACCGTTGCTGCTTCGTGCCACGTACTTTGGTCTTTCGAGTGTCGCACACAGGCGGAATGGTAAGAAGAGCGAGAAAGAGAGAGAGAGAGGGAGAGAAAGAAACAAAGAAAGAGAGAGAAAGAGAGAGAGGGACAGAGACAGAGAAACAACAAACATCAAACATATACATATAGATAGCACCCGAATCGGTCCCCGACGCCAGGCAGGCAGAAAGAAAGACCAGGCCCCAGACAAGACTTCCAAGGCTCCCTAGGGGTCATACAGCTCATGTCACCGTGGTGTGCTGTCGGAGTTTTTTTTATAGAGACGATGCAGCAATGGCGGAATCGATCCGATCACCGGCAAGATCAGCACCAGTGCACTAAAGGTCTGGACGCAAACCCCATACAGAGTACATCAGCTCAAGCTATACAGGGCGGGCGGGTCGGGACGCTTGAGCCGAACGATTATGGTTCGGCGCCCATGCCCTCCCCTTCTTGCTTATGCATTAAAATAAATGTAGGGAGAACCAGTACCGGCCCCCGACGCCAGGCAGGCAGAAAGAAAGACCAGGACCCCGCGATCCGGATCACGCGTCTGAAATTTGAAAGACAATCCTGTTCAAAGCGGTGCCCTCGCCAAAACGGCAGGCCCAATTGTGCTGGCATTGAAAGGGGAGGCGCTTCTTCTAGTGAAAAGGAAGACTTGCAGGGGCGAGGGGCCTGGGGCCAGGACGGTGCGTATGCATATTTGGTTTACTATGGCCCTCCTCCTCCTCCTCCTGCAACGACGACGACAACGACGACGACGATGACGACGACGACGACGACGACGACGACGACGACGGCGGCGGCGGCGGCGGCGGCGGCGGTGGCTGCGGCGGCGGCGGGGACAGCGGCGGCGACGTCGGCGTGGCGCCAGAGCTGCCGTCGTCGCTGGAACACGGTCCGCCCTCGTCCGCCGCCGCCGCCGCCGCGGCGCGCCCGCGCGGCGGCGGGCCGCTGGCGCCCTGGCGGCGGGACGTCGGCATTGTCATCGTCGGTATCTCCATCATCGCTGTCTTCGCCGCTGGCGTCGTCGTCGTCGTCGAGGATCTAGGTTCGAGGATCAAGGTTTTTGCTGGATGCAGGAGCCCCTGGGATCCTGCAGGGGCCTCGGGGAACCTGCGGAGGTGGCCGTCGTCGTCGTCGTCGTCGGCAGCGTCGGCTGCGTCAGTGTCGGCGTGGGCGATGGTCGAAGGAATGGATGCAATGGGTGGCAGACAGAGGAGGGAGGCAGGGGAGAGGGACCAGCAGCGCTCCTTTCAAAACGAAGATCTGGCCAAGAGAGGATGGACAAATCACCCAAAAACCCAAAGTCCTCGAACCTCCATACTCCCAGGCGCGAACATTTTCTGGTCGCAAGGAGTCTCGGAAGGCCGCCGAAGGCCGCCGAGCGCCGACGTGACGCGGGCGCGCTCACTTATGCGAGCGGCGGCCGCGCCAGCGGTATGGGAGGAGGAGGACCAGAGTAAGTACAGGGTCCAACAAAGATGCTGCACTACACACTCTCGTCCCAAGTCCCCTCCTTATAAGCCTCTGCAGGCCCTCAATTTCACTGCAAGATGTGCCGCCTTGAATAGCGAGCACCACACGGGCCTGCCATCAAGGCGAGGGGCTCGGATTTTAAAAAAACACCAACCCATCCGTCAAACTGCTGCAAACGCTTACACTTCTGGCCATGATGTGCTAAGGACATCTGAAGCAAGATCACAGTTTTGGAGCAATAAAAAACAACAGCAAAAAGGATGGCTGCCGCTGAGTCCTCCTGTGGAGCTCCCTCTGGGGCCACGAAACGTGTAAGGGGTGCGCCGAATCGGATGCGGGGCCGCCATGCGGACCCTGCCGCTGGGGCCTTCGGTGGAGCACCCTATGGGGCCACGAAACGTGTGAGGGGTGTGCGGATATGAACATGTGGAGGGCAGAGGCAAGGGTGGGAGGAGGGATGAGGGGGAGGAGGAAGGAGTGAGGCACGCGAGGCGCTGTCTTTTCGAAACGAGGACCCAACACCACCACAGGATGGTTGGGAAAAAAAGCTGGCCTCTATCCCCGAAGCTGTTACAAGATGTCAAAATCAATGCGCACGGCGCGAAAGCGAAACATGAACTTTGATAACGGGTCGGCCTTCATCCTCGCTACGAATTCAAGTTTTGCAGACCAATTTGCGAGGCGCTAAAGAAAGAGCCGCATGTTGAAAACCACTGGCCCACCATCCTTTTACTTGCTGCAGTGTTTAAAAGCATATAAGTACAGCGGTAAGGCGAAACCCGCATTTTGGAAAACCGGCGGCCCACCATCCTTGCAACTGCATGTAACTACTGCAGTCTGTGAAAACGCATGTGCGCGGCGCTATGGCGAGAGCCGCATTTTGGAAACGGCCCGTCCTCCATCAATGAATTGCTGGAATTGTTTCACTCACAGATCCGCCACCGTGCCGCTGGGCACGGAGTGGGCGTGCCCTCAGGTCCTGGGCCCAATCCTTTAAGCTTCAACCCTCACTTCTGAAGAGTCTTCAACGGACCCGGACCCCGAATTCCCAAATCTACCTAGGCTTGGCGCGTCTCGTCGGGGGCTTGCGTCGTCTTCTCGATTCTCGCGTGACGTGTTCGGGCCCAAGAGGGCCCCAAGATGGAGCCAAAGGGCTCCAAGAGGCTCCCATGACGGCCCAAGAGGGACCCGAGTCGCTGAACGATCGGTCCAAGACGTCCAATATGGCCCTAAGACGGCCCAAGAAGCTTCCAAGACGCCCGAACAAGCCTTCGAGAGGCCTCCCGAGAGGGCCCCAAGAGGCAAAAATCATGAGAATTCCATCGGTGTTGAAGGATGTTGGCGTTCTCGCCTTTTCGGCTTCCGACGCTCCACAACGGCCTACGAGGCCCCCAAGATCGCTCAAAGACGGCCCCAAAGGCACCCTTGAGGGCCCCAAGACGGCCCAAGAGGGCCCCAAGACAACCCAAGAGGCGCCCAAGACGGCCCAAGAGGGCCCAAAAACGGCCCCAAGAAGGGGCCCAGCTAGGGAGCCCGAACGGACATTTCGAGCCCTCGGCCCCGAGCGGCAAGGCCCCAAGAGGCCCCCATGAGGCCCCCAAGAGGCCCCCAAGAGGCCCCAAAGAGGCCCCACGAGCCCCCCAAGAGGCCCCCACGAGGCTCCCAAGAGGCCCCAAAACTGTCCCCAAGAGGCCCCCGAGAGCGCTCCGAAGAGACCCGAAGAAGCATCCCTGAGAACTCTGACCCACAACGCAGGCACGTTGGCGGGATGAGCCGAAAGCCTTTCGATACTCAGCAACAGGCTAAACGACCAGCCCGGCCTACGGAGGCGTCTGGTGGTGCGACATGGGGGAGTTCTTTGTAATGAACAGGGATCGAGGCAGACGGGGGGGCGATGAATGGGAGAATCATGGGGGGAGGGGGAGAGGAGAGGGAGCAGGGGGCAGGAGTGAAGAGGGAGGAAGGCAGGGGGAAGGGGAGTGGAGAGAGGACTGAGGAGGAAGGACGAAGGAGGGAATACACAAAGGGAGGAAGGAGGTGGAAAGAGCCATCCCTCCCTCCTCCTCCTCCTCCTCCTCCTCCTCCTCCATCATCAGCATCATCACCATCATCACCATAATCCTCTTCATCATGCACATCCCCTCTTCATTCCTCATCACTCTTCCCCATCGTCGTCAACATCAGCATCACATTACAATTATCCGCATATACCGCATCATCTTCATGACCACCATCAGCATCACCACCGCCACCACCACCACACCAACACCATCATCACCACATCATGATATCCGCATCGCACGAGGCATCACCAGTAGCATCGTCCTCATATGCAAAATCTACAGCAGCACCAACAGCATCGCCATCAGCATCATCATCATCGCCACCAGCATCACCACCATGTTCGTCATCATCACAATCGTCAGCAGCAGCATCATCCTTATTTTTTAAAACGCACCATCATAACCATCATCACCATCATCACCAGCATCATCAGCACCACCACAATCACAATCACACTCGTCACCATTATCATCGCCACCACCAGCATCATCATCATCCTCATACCCATCATCCCTCCCGTGCCTTCCCCGTCCTCCCTGCCCCCCCTCCCCTTCCCTCCCCCCCCCTTCCCCACCCTCATCCTCCCCTTCCCCTCCATGCTCCTCCTTTTCTTCCCAAGCCCCACCTCCCCTCATCCCGCCCCTCCTGTCTCCCACCCCCTCCGTCACCCATACCCGCTCCTCCCCCACCCCCTCCCCCACCCTCACCCCTCCCCTCCAGACCCCTCCCATGTCAGTAAACATGTGATGTCTGTGTTATCTTGCTCACCGGTCACGGCGACGCACTGTGTTCTCCAGCCCCCAAGCTACGACCGTAGCATGCTTCAAAATGGCTACGTATAGCAGCCATAGCAAAGACGAGACAATTTTTCCCTACGCCTATCGTGTCCTACATGACTCACACGGGGAGGCCGTCAAAGCTATCATACCGCCAGCCGTCGTAATGACCGGCATACCCGGTCAGCATCGCGTAATCGTCTAGGTCCTCATCGTTGTCCGCCGATGGGAAGAAAGGCTCACGCTCGACTCCGTCATCCAAAATGTCCCCGCGGCCCTGTTGGCGCCGTTCCTCGCTGATGTGAAGGTCGGGTCCTTGACTAGCCGCCAATAGCCGCGTGTTAGGAAGTCTGCCAGCACGGACCGTGCTGCACACGATCCTTCTGTCAGCCCGTCGGCTGGCATGGCCTCCGAGTGGACCCAGCGCAGCTCTGCGGGTCCCTCCTCCATTGCTTGCTGGAGGCCGAGCGCCTCGATGGCTGGGCGGCGGTCGTCTGCCCCCAGCCCTGTGCTCACGCTGCGGGCCAAGGCGTCGCACAGGCCCTCGTAGTCCGCGACCGTCGTCGCTCGCGTCATCCGGAGCGCGCCTCGGACGCCCTTCAGGTTGACGCCGCCGCGCATCAGTTCAGTCCACGCAATGCGCATGTAGGTCAGATCCTCGTGGCACACGCTGCCCGACCGCACCTCGCACCCCAAGCTGGACCGCGTCACTCGCGAGAGCTTATTCGAGGTGAACTGCAAAAGGGATGTAGCGGTTCTCTCCGTGTAGCAGGGTCCGCTCGCCCATCCCGATGACGCAGACTCCCTGCGACTCCGCGTCTTTCCGGACAGCCCAGGCTGCGTCGTGGAAGGCAGTGAAGATGGGATCCTTGACGGCACGAAATCGCACATGCACGCGAGCTGTCTCATGGGCTGTGTGGATCACCTTGTTAATGCGGGTCAACAGGCCGTACGTCGCGGCGTTGGCGCATGACGACAGGATGCTCGCGTCTGCTGCGACGGGCACGGTAGGCCTCCGATGGCAGCTCGGCACGCAGCGATGCCCAGCGCCGGCGGGGCGTCGTCGGGCCGTCCGCTCCAGCCCTCTATCATCTCCACCTTCGCGGCAGCGGCAGCGAATGAAAAACGAGATGGAGTCGCCGGCCAACTGCGCGACGCCCACGCCCGTCCGTCGGAAGCACCCTGTTCCCCATGGGGCCCCACTGCCAGTAGTTGCGCAACTTCTCGCGCTTCTTCTTCTTCGCCCTGTCGTTTTTCTCCCCGATGCCCCGCGCGACGTCGCCCACGCGCGCGAAGGCGATGGCGACTGGCCGGCCGATGTCGCACAAGGTCCAGACACGCGGCTCCAGCTCCATGGCCACCCAGCCGGACTCCGCCATGCGCCTCACGACCTCGTCAAACCACTCCGTCGGCGCGTCGCACGGCCCGTGGGCCTTCTTGAGCATCGGCGCGACCTCGCCGCCCCGCGGGCCCATGGCCTCGCGCAGCTCGCGGACGGGCACTAGGAAGACGCCGGTGTCGGAGCTCTGAGACTGCAGGAAGGCCGCATTCACGTGGCCGCCGTGGATGCGCAGGCCCTCGTTCGCGCAGACTTGGTGGGCCAAGTTTCGGGCTCGGACGGACGCGGTCGAGCTCGTCGTTTGCACGCGGCCCAGCCGAGGGCCCTCGCACCCCAAGAGCACGATGCGAGCCTCGGCCCTCCCGTCCGACTTCGCCGTCAAGTGCCAGCGCATCCTCGTCGGCCCTCTTGGCCCTCTTGGCCCCCTTGGCCCAGCGTCCGCTCTCTTGGCCGCTGCGGTGACCTGGTTGGCCAGCCAGCCGTTCACTTCGGCGTTCGTGGCGGCCCGGAACTGCCCCCGCATGGCGCGGCCCAGCTTCCGGAGAATCACCCCCTTGCGGCGGCGGCGGCGGCGGCGTAGGCGGCGGGCCCCGCGCGAACCTGCGCCAGGACTTCTCGTCCGCCTCCCTGTCGGGGAGGTCCATGCGCACCTCGTAGGCGGGGGGGCTCGTCGGAGATGGTGGCCGGGGCGTCCTCCATGTCAAACTCCTCGCGACTCATCCTCAGCGCGGGGCCTTCCTCTGGCGCGGCTTCCTCTCGAGGCCGCGCGTCGCATCGCGGCGCTGAATGCTCTGCCTCAGGTTCTCGGGGGGGGCTCCGTGGGCCCCCCCATCTCACTGAGCCGCTGTCTGATGCTGAAGGGCAGGTCACCCCTCGGGTCGCAGACCCCCGCATACCGCGGGGGGCGCCCCTCCGCCGCCTTCGCGATCTTCGACCCCGCGCTCGGGCGACGGCTCGCTCACAGGCTGCTCCTGCTCCGGCTCAGACCTCCCGGGGGTGCCTGGCAGAGGAGTCTCGGTCTCTCGTGAGACCCCCTCGTCCAGAGGCATTCCCGGCTCCGCCGGCTCATCCAGCTGATCGCAATCTGGCTCGCCCTCTCCCGCGATGTCCACCACGCGGGCGAGTCTCTTCAGAGCCTGGTCCGCGCGCTGGCGCAGGAGGTCACGCGTCTCCGCGTCCATCTCGATAATGGCCCGCTCCGCGTCGGACACCGGGCGCAGCTGCTGGGGCGCGGCTCGGGGGACCTGCCCCCGGAAGGCCAGGATCACCACGTCCCGGAGGCGCCCTTCCTCCAGAGGTTGCCGCAGGCGCGCGAACACGGTGGCTGGCCCAACGAAGAGGCCCTTGGACGTCTCGTTATTGTCCTTGTCGGTATTGCCGGCCTGTCGCCGGACGCGCACCCAGTCTCCCACGGCGCACTCCCGCTGCGCCCGGGCGCGCTTCACCGCTTAAAGGCTGGAGCTTCTTAGCCTAGTTGGGAGGTGTTTGTGGCTGGGCTGAAGTTACTTGTGTTCGGGAATATGTTTCGCAAGTGACTTCAGAATTTTGCAAATGTAATAAGTATTTGCTGCGCGTTGTAAGTACACTCGGGGAACTTATATGTCTGTGTCAGCATTTGAGCACCGAGTTAAGTTACTTAGTATGTGCAGCTAAGTAATTTAGGTGTACTTAGCATTAAGTACCTTAGGATAACTTAGTGACACTTATGCGGAACTTGCAACTTTCCGACATCCCCCCCCCCCCCCCTTTCCCCCGCGCGCGCCGCTCCGCGCGGCAGGCGCGCCTCGCCACGGGACGCGCGCAGCGGCGTGCCAAGGGGGGGGGTGAGAAGGAGCGGAGATAGCGATGGCGATCGCTTGAGGGAGGTAGTGGGATGATGGAGGGTAGCGATTGCGATCGCTGGAAGGAGACAAGACCAATAGCGATGGAGATCGCTTGATCGAGCGATGACGATCGCTCCAGTGGAACAATGGAGGGTAGCGACTGCGATCGCTTGAGAGAGGATGAGGGGGGGAACGCCGAGGGGGGAGATAGCGGCGTCGACCGCTTGAGCGAGGTATTGGGAGAACGGTTTGGAAGCGACTGTGATCGCTTGTGTGCTTCAAGGGGAGATGCGTTGAGGATGGGGTTAGCGATGGCGATCGCTTGGAGGATGAAGTGGGGATAGCGGAGGGTTGCGATTGCGACCGCGCCTCGGGGAGGGGGGGGAAAGGGGTGAGAGTCCAACGAGGGCGATGGCGATTGGGATCGCTTGAGGGAGGAAGAGGAGGAAGGGATGAGAGTGCTCATGAGGGAAATAGCGATGGCGATCGCTCCAGGAAGGTAGTGGGATGATGCAGCGATTGCGATCGCATGAGGGAGGAGGAGACGGACGGTGATGAGGGAGATAGCGATACCGATCGCTGGGAAGCGTTGGCGGGGCGATGAAGGGTAGCGATTGCGATCGCTTGCAGGGGGAATATGACAGGATAGTTTAGGAGGCAACCAGCGATGGCGATCGCTTTGGGAAGCTTGTGGGTTGATGGAGGGATGGCGGTGGCGACCGCTTGACGGCGCATGTAGCGATGGCGATCGCTTGGGCAGGTCGCGATATTGTTCGGGGCGATGAGGGCGCAAAGTGAAGATAAGGATGGCACTGCGATATCTAGGACGAGGAATGAGGGGGAGTCGCGAAGAGAGGGGGGGGGGGGGGCTGGCAGCGATTGTGATCACTCGAGTGGTCGGAGGGGCCGACTGTGGGAGGGCTCGACGTGTTTGCCGAGCGATCTCGATCGCTATGCGGCTACCGCCTTCTGCATGTAATCAGGGCGGCAGCCGTTGTGGCTTCGCGCGCGACGCGACGCGCGCTTCGCGCCGCGTGCGGGGCGCCACCTGGCGCCGTGGGAGCGGCGCGCCGCGCGATGACGGACGCCCAGGAGTTGCTGGAACAGCTGAGGTGCAGCCTCGGAGCGAGCCATGGAAAGAGCTGCTCAACGCCCAGGCGACGCTGGCGACGACCATGCTGCAGTCATGGTCTTCCATTTCGTCCGAGGACTCGGCCGAGCTGGTGCAAGCCATTTCGGAGCTGCCATTCGGCACGAAGCAGCGTGGTGATCTCCTGCGGGCTGTCACAACGCTCGCCACTGCCTCGGCGCGCGCGCTGGTTGCCAACGCAGCTGCGCCCCAGAAGCTGCTGAGCAACTCTCGCGCCCCCCAACAGGACTTCACGGCCATCGCGGCCTACCTCACGGCGAGGCAGTGGGAGACAATACTGGGCGAGGGCAACGACTTTCTGGGCCGCGCGGGGGTCGTGCTCCAGGCGTGCAAGACGCTCGGGTGGAGGACCATCCACGAACCTACAGTCCAGGTTGCCTGCTGCATCGCGCTGCAGGTAGATGGCGCCGACAAGGCGCTTCGACAATGTCCCGTGACCCTTTGGGGCTACTGCGAGCGTGCGAAAAAATGCGCAAAGAAGTTGCTCCCTTGGAAGCTGTGCAAGCAGATGGCGGAGTCCGAGGGCGCCTTCGTTTCGGCGCTGCCCGCTTCCCCTGTGGACTACGCCAGGTTGCATGCCGAGATGTGCGCGCGCGCGTTTCCCAAGAAGGGCCCAACGGCTTTTCCGCTGGATTCCACGCAGTTCATGGTGCCGACGGACGGCGTCCCCATGCGCGAGAGCAAGGCGCGGATTAAGGCGCTGACTGCGTCGGGCTCGGCGCAGGGCATCGCGCTGGCGCTGGCGACGCCAGGGCAATGCGACGCCAGGGCAGTGCCGTGCAGGCGGTGCCAACCGTCGTCGCCGTTGCCGCTCGAGGATGACGGCGCCGCTTCGAGCACTGCCACGCCAGCGCGTCGGGCATCAGGCCTGTCAGCGCAGGAGGCCAGGGACAAGATCCTCGAGGAGCTCAAAGGCCGCAAGCCGAAGATGCCCCAGGAGAGCGAGGACGAGGGCGACGGCGGCAGCGGCAGCGAGGACACAGATGCCGAGGCGGCGGGCGACGCGGCTGTCGGCGCCGCGAAGGTGAGGGGCGCGGGGGCCACCCACCACACCACAGGGCAACTGGGGGGGCTCATTGCGCGCGGTAGATAGGGTGACACCCCCAACGGGCGATGACAGACCCATCCCTCTCGCACCACAGGGGCGGGTGACGAAGGGGGGGGGGGGGGCAGCGGGGCAGATAGAACCAACCTTCCCAGAAGGCCAAGAAGAAGCCCATGAAGAAGGCGCCCATGAAGAAGGCGCCGAAGAAGGCGCCGACGACTGCGCCGAAGAAGAAGAAGAAGAAGGCGCTGAAGGCGCCGAAGGTGGGATCGCACAAGGCAGGGAAGCCGTCCTTCTCCGTGGAGTGGAGCAGGGGCCAGGTCTTGGCAGGACAGGCAAGCGCGGACCAGGCCAGTCGATGGCGCTCAAGTTCGCGAAGTTCGGTGGCGACAGCGATAAGGCGATCGCGGCGGCCAAGAAGTGGGTGGCCAAAGCGATCGCGGGCGGCGCGTGAGTCGCACCCGCGCTGCGCTCGCGCCGCAGGGGTGATGGCGCGCCATCTGCGCGGCACGGGGCCGCTGCCGCGCGCGGAGGCGGGGTGCTCGGCGTGGCGCGCGTGCGGAAAATGCAAAAGGGACGCGGCCGATATGAATGACGAAAGGTGGAAGGCGTGATTGAGTAGCGGTTTCGACCGCTAGGAGGTGGATGGCGAGGGAGTGAGAAGGAGGGGACAGGAGGAGGATGAGGAAGGCGAGGAGGGGCAGAGGAGGAGGAGGAGGATGAGGGGGAGGAGGAGGAGGAGGAGGAGGAGGAGGAGGAGGATGAGGGGGAGGAGGGGGAGGAGGGGGGGGTGGAGGGGGAGGTGACGGATCGGGCGGCGGCGATCCTGGCGGCGGTGGCGACCGCTTGAGGGACGTTGAGAGGCAGATCGGGGCTGTTGACACTGATGATGAAGATTTCGCATTAGGTTTATACGATTGCGATCGCTCGGGTTCAATGATGGACTGCAGCGGGTGCGATCGCATGGGGGGGGGGGGGGGGGGGGGGGGGGAGGGGGGTGGGGGGGGGGGGGGGGGGGGGGGGGGGGGGGGGGGGAGGGGGGGGGGGGGGGGGGGGATTATGGGGCCAACGTTGGGGAAGGAGGGGTGGTCGGACGGGTGGCGATTTCGATCGCTTGGGGTTGCGTGAGAGTGGGCGCGATCGCGGCAGTTTGCCATCGCGAGCCGTTTTGGCGCTGCGCGGTGCCACCCGCGGCAGCTGCGCGCCACCCGCGGCGCCCGCGGCTCAGCGCGGCGCCGACCGCGCTCGCGCGCGATGGCGGAAGAGTTCCTGTCCGCGGCACAGGCGTTCGCGTCGCAGCTACCGAACGCGACAGCCAGCACGGCGGCGAGCGCGACGGCGCGGGCGGCGGGCGCGTCGGCGTGGGCAGCGGAGCCGTTGCACCAGTCACGGGGGATGACTACGCAGGGGAGGTGGCGTCGCCAGTGGACGTGCCACCGTCGCCGTCGCCGCCGCCGCCGCAGAGCTACAGCAGCTGCGCGGCGGAGAGCGGCGACAGCGCGCCGCTGCCGAAGCAGCGCCGCCCGTTGCGCGTGCCCGTCGGCATCTACGCGCAGCCGCCCGAGCAGCCGCCGCCGAAGCGCCCGCGCCTATCGGCCGCCGCGGCTTCGGTGTCGGACGCCCCCGACGTGCTCGCGAGCGCCGTCGCGGCACCGATGCCGCCGCGCTCGATGGCGGCGCCAAGGGCGCGCGCGCCGACGGCCGCGCCATGGCGGCAACGGCTGCAGCAGCAGCTGCCGCGGCCACCAAGGGCATCGGCAACAGCAGCAGCAGCTGTGACGACAGTGCCAACGCCACCAGCAACACCACCGCCTTGGCGCTCAAAATCAGCATCAGCGCCACCACCAGCAGAAGCGAGAGCAGCAGCACGCCCTCTGCCGAAGGCCCCCTGCCTAGGCCCAGCACCACCAGCAACGCCACCGCCTGCAGCGGCAGTAGCGAGAGAAGCTGCAATCAACGCACACCCAGCAGCAGCTGCAGCAGTCGCAGCGCGGCGGCAGGCGAAGCAGCAAATGCAGACCAGGCAGCAAGCGCAGTCAGCGGCCGCAGCAGCTCCAGGTCCAGAAGCAGCAACTGCAGACCTTGCTGCAGCACTGCATGCCGCAGCCGCAGCGCGGGCGAGCGCGTGCGAGAAGCGGGCCAACAACTACGCGCCCGAGCAGGTCATTGACCTTCAGGCGGAGTCGGCCGTGGCGAAGGCGATGGGCCTGCGGTGGGATCAGCGCGGCCCTGCGGGCCCGCAGCAGGGCGGCCCCGACACGTGGCGGGGGCAGCAGTACCGCGCCAACAGAGGTGTCTGGGCCAATCGGGGCGGTCGGAATCGCGAGTTCTTCAACGCGAAGTACGGCGGTGGCAAGAACAAGGGCAAGGACAAGGGCTGCGGCAAGGGCATGGGCAGCGGCAGGGGCAAGGGCTGCGACAACGCCACCGCCAGCAGCACCGCCGCCAGCAGCACCGCCGCCAGCGGCACCGCCGCCAGCAGCGGCAGCCGCCAGCAGCAGGTGCAATACTTGTGAGCAGCGGCGCGGCCCGCTGCGCCTCGGCAGCTGCGGCGCTTCGCGGCAGCCGCTGCACTGCCGCGCTCGCCGATGCGCCCGCTTCGCGGCAGCTGCGGCACTTCGCCGCGGTCAGCTGCGGCAGCGCCGTGCTCGTGAGCGTCGCGGCGGCGGCGCTTCGCTTATAATCGCTTGACTTCGCGCTTGTGAGCGCGCGC